ATAAGAGAGGCAGAGACAGAGGTCTACCATCCACTGGTTCACTCCCCAGATGACTGCAATGGCCAGAGCTGTGCCAATCCAAAACCAGGAGCTGCTTCTGGGTCTCCCACGCTGGTGCAGGGGCCCAAGCACTTTGACCATCTTGTACTGCTTTCCTAGGACATAGCAGAGAGCTGGATAGGAAGTGGAGCAGCCAGGACTATAACTGACACCCATATGGGATGCCAGCACTGCAGGCGGAGGCTGTATCCTCTACGCCACAGTGCTGGCCCCTCATTTTTTTTTTTTTTTTTAAACTACTGTTTATTTGAAAGGGAGAGTTACAGAGAAAGGAGGAGAAATAGAGAACTTGGGCCATCTTTTGCTGCATTCCCAAGCACATTAGCAGGGAGCTAGATAGAAGAGGCCAGCCCATGAGATGCCAGAGCTGTAGGCAGCAGCTTTAACTGCTCCACCACAGAGCCGGCTATAGCCTCTACAATTTTTTTTAAAAGATAAATGAACAAAAAAACACCAAGCATTTTTCTCCCATTAGGTAAAAGTCAGATGAAGCCAAAGGAAGATGACTTATAAACTTGATTCTACAGCCCACAGTTCAGGCTTTACTTTCTACCACTTAAGAGAATGAGGGTCATACAGTAATATCCTTTTAAAAGGAAATTTTCCTTACAAACAAACAGAAAGGGATTATTTCTTCCTATGGCCATGCACAGTTCTTTCAGTGACCACGCTCCCAGTGTTATTCTTCTCCAGCTGTTCAAACAGCAACCTAGAGGTAACAGACCAAGGCACTAGGCCATTCTGCTATGCTGTTATTGGGAAATTTTGGAAAATAGGCTCCAATAAAAGCCAAAAAAGCATTAGCTCTTCTTAAAACCCATCTCCCTATTCTTTCCTATTTGAAATAAAGCAAACATCTGCATTCACTATCCATACCCAACTGGTTCCAAAATAAGGAGGAATGTAGGACAATTTTAGAACACAACAAATGGGCTGAGAAATATGATAAATACACCTCAGAGAATTCCAATCAAATCACATATCCCAAAAAAGAGAGGAAACCTGAGAGTCTCAAAATATTTTACATGCCTTAACTTAAACATATCAGACAAAGAAGCAAATTGAGAACCAGCTCCCAGCAGTATCACTTTGTTCTGTCTTGGGCCCATGGAGAGTCCAAGCATGTACTCCATATTGTTAGTGAAGCAAATCTGAGTCCTAGTGTTATGTTACTCAATATTTGAAAAAAAGTCTGGTGGCTCCCCATGCCTACATAAAATACTGTGCACATCTCTGAAGAGTCTCCAAAGTCTGGCTCTAATTTACCTTTCTGGTCTCATTGTCCACTCCCACTTCTGCAAATTTGTCACAAAGACACATTTCCCACTTTCCCATCTCCATACAGGTGTGCAAGCTATCTCCTCAGTTCTGAACATCCTCCTACCTGCCACCATTCCTCCGTCAGACTAAGAAGGTACAGTAGAATTGTACTAGTTAACAGCTTAATGACCTTAAGCAACTCCATCAATAAATCTGTTACACACTGCAAACAGGCCTACTACCTACGGTACTTGACAAGGCTACTGTGAGGATTACATAATAGTTATGAACGATCCATCATTCTAAGGCATAGTACTTAATAGATAAGCAGTAACTACTAAGCCATCTTTCTCCTCTTAGTACCAATACTCCTACCCTCCCCTAAGCTCTCATGGCTTCTCCATTAGGTTACAAACAAGCTAGCTGTGGACATGAATCTCTAAATCTCTACTACTACGGAGCAACTTGTACAAGATATGCAACCTCTCTGGACCTGTTTCTTCATTAATAAAATAAACAGGAGTCAAGCCTTTACAATCTTAAGAAGCTTAAAAGAGGTAATGTAGGCGTGGGCGCTGTGGTGCAGCAGGTTAACCTGTCACATGGGACACCAGTATCCCATACCATTTCTGGCACCCAGTCCCAGAATCTGTTTCTGACCCAGCTTCCTGCTAATGCACATGGGAAGGCAGCAGATGATGGCCCAAGCACCTGGGTCCCTGCCATCCACATGGAAGACCCAGATGAAGTTCTAGGCTCCTGGCTTCATTGTGGCCCAGGCCCAGCTATTCTGGTTATTTGGGGAATGAACTAGTGGATAGAAGAGCTCTCTGTCACTCTTTTTTTTTTTCCCCCCAAACTATTTATTTATTTGAAAGGCAGAGTTAGAGAGAGAGAGGCAGAGACAGAGAGCTTTAACATCTCTGGTCCACACCCCAAATGGCCACAGCGGCCACAGCTGGGCCGATCCAAAGCCAGGAACTTCTTTCAGGTCTCCCACGTGGGTGCAGGGGCCCAAGCACTTGGGCCATCTTCCACTGCTTTCCCAGGCGCATTAGCAGGGAGCTGGATCAGAAGTGGAGCAGCTAGAATTCTGGCACCTCAAGCGGCAGCTTTACCCACTGTGCCATAACGCTGGTCCCCACTCTACTTTTCAAACAAATAAATCTTTATAAAAGAGGTAATGTACATCAACTACTGGAATAATGCTTGACACCTAGTAAGTCTCAAAGCATATTTAACGAAGTCTGGACAATATCTGCTCTAGTCATTGCTTACAGACTATACATATACATGTGAAACGCATTTCCCTCATTAAATCCAATTACATAAAGCGATCTAAATACAACTTAACCTGCCTACCTACGTCTCTTCTTACACAGATGTTCACGGAAGACAAAATGGTGGCTCCTACACACTTAACCTCAGAAAAGCTAACATATTCATAATTTTCCACCAGACTAAGTACATCACAATTTACGACTGGCATCATTTTAAATAACTCGGTACACTTAAACAAATGCGGGGCTACCCCTGAAGAATTTTAATTAAATAGTCTGTCAAAGTTAAACAAAACTGAAATTGGTAGCCTGCCAGGAAAGGGAAGTTGGTTGTTTATTCATTTTTTAAAAAATTTTATTTGCATTTTACTTGGAAGGCGGAGAGACAGACACACAGAGAGAGATCTTCCATCCACTGGTTTACTACCCCATATGCCTGCAATAATAAGGGCTGGGCCAGTCCAAAATCAGAGGTCTGGAACTCGACACAGGTCTCTTACATGGGTGGCAGGGACCCAAGGGCTTGAATCATCATTTGCAGTGTCCCAGGGTATGCCTCAGCAGGAATCTGGACCAAAAGCAGAGTAGCAGGGACTCAAACCAGACACTCCTCTAAGGGTCTGCCAGGGTCCAAAGCAGCAGCAACTTAACCGCCTCTGTTTAACTCATTCTTCAATCTTGATCTTGCTAGATCATCAATTTCCCTAGTAAAAACTCTAATCAAACATCAACTACATCCATGATAGAATTTTCCATCTACACATTTTCAACCCATTGCTCTATGTAAGAGGGAGAAGCAAAATTTCCAAAATTAACCACCTTGACATCAAGGAAATTACAGAAAATGAGAACTTGAAAAAAGTTTAACACTGCAACATTTGCACTCCACTCTCCACTGTACACTGATACCTGTAGAGGTTGTGTAGCAGGGAAGTTAAGCCCTGGAAAGGTTCTGGGACGATGGACCTGGTTTAAATCTACCACCATCACTTCCTAATATGTGACCCAAACATGCTATTTCTCTTATCTTTTTCTTTAAAGACTTATTTATGCATTACCTACTGGAAAGACAAAATGACAGAGAAGGAGAGCTCTTCAATCTGCTGGTTCACTCCCCTAAAGAGCCAGGTCTGTACCAGAGAAGGCAGGAGACCTGAACTCAATCTGGGTCTCCCACGTGGTGGCTGGGAAAGCAGCCATGATCCGCTGCTTTCCCAGGCGGTTAGCAGAAAGCTGGCTCAGGGGCAGAAAATCAGGGGACTCGAACCCGCAGTCCCATACGAGATGCCCGAGATTGGGTGGTAGCTTAACCGCCTGTATCACAACAAAGCCCCCCCCCCCCCCCAGGGATGTTATTCCTTAAGCCTCATCTACAGGCATAAAGTGCGGACTATAATACTGTGAACCTTACAGATTGTTGTATTAAATGATAACAGACGCTTAAAGTGTAGCAAAGCATGGACATCATCCATCCTCCGTAAATGATATTCGCACTTTATAATGGGAAATAAGTGCACTGCTAAGTTTGGGCCCAAGCTAAATAATGGTTAACAGCAGCACACTGGAAACATGTTAGAGCTCACAGAAGCGCATTTGATCGCCACAACATCCATCCATGGGGGTGTGGTGGGGAGTGGTAACGGGGTCTGGGGGACGGAGTCGGCTTTTAGAAACAGAGAAACTGATCTAACAGACAGCCAGCCCACACCAGGGGCTTCTTCAACTACTGTTACGCAGCTCAGAGGTAGGTGCTTAAGTGCTAAATGTTCCCACGACATCCTCGAAAAAGGGATGCCTGCAAGTTACCGCTCTCAACATGCACAGCTGAGCCCAGGAGCGCAGGAACAAGGCCAAGCGAATGAAGCCACCGATGATCCTTAGAGCGTTGCACTGCCGCCTTACGAGGTGTCCTCCCACACCTGCAGGGTGGGGGCCCGGCCCGCGTGGAGGCGCCCCCTCCCCCAACACCAGCCTCAGGAAATGTTGGTGGAAACGGCACGGGACGCCGTGGGAGGTTTTGCAGGGAGCCGCCTGACGCCAGCTCCAGCATCTCGGCAGATGTAGAGTCGTGGGGCGCGGAGGGTCCCACCACTAACCGGACTCTAAGGATGGCTGGGGGGACTGACTGGCTCCGCCAAGCGGAAACCTGGGAGCGGCCCCGCCGAGGGCGGAGGGGCACGCAGGAGTTGGGGCCGGCCGGCGGCGATAGCTGAGAAGTCGGGGACGGGACGGCCGCTCGGGGGCTGAGGGAATCAGGGCAGTTGGCGTCTGGGGGGGAGGGAGCCGCCCGCTGGTCAGAGAAGGATCCCGGGCTCCGCGTGAGGAGAGGGTTCTGCGCTCCGCTAGGGGCCCACTCCCCATCCCGCGGCGGCATTTGCTGCACCGAGTACTCGCTGCTACCTGAAACTGCAGCAGTTTCTCTGTTTGCTCCTGGGTTAGATCCCGCTCCTCAGGCGCCGCCATTTTGCCGCCGCCTCTACGCTCCTGACCCGTCCGCACCGTCACCCGCCGGAACTGACGTCAGCCGCAACCGCTTCCGGTCTGAACGGCCGCCGGCGCTCAACTGCGACTGCGCGCGCTGGCTCACTCCGGCCCGGCCGTTCGGGCCCTTCCCGAACCTTTCCGGAAACTGCCGAGGGGCAGTCGGTACAAGTCCCCTCCAGGATTTAGGTGACGGACGGATCTACGAGTCCTGCGAGACCGACAGGGCCCGAATGTGCCTCGAGGAGCTCCGGAAAGTCCCGAAGGGGGCTCGGCTGATTTCGGCTGCTCCCTCAGCTGGTTCCGGTAATCTGCGTTTCGGAAGGTTTCTCGGGAAATCGTGGAGATTCCGAAACCCGTTTGGTTCTGAGTGTCTCTCGGGACCTACCGAAAGGCCCCGAACGTTGGTGGGGGCGTTTCCGACGCCGCCTCAAGCCGGTGGCGGAGGGAAGTCTTTGGCGGCGTTTTTGAGTTGCGGCTGCGGTGTTGCTTGCTGGGAGCTGTTTGGACGCGGCTTCCCTGGGTCTTTGGCTGGAATGGCGTTGCCAGCCTTGGGGAGAACTTTCCTTGCAGCCCGCTTGCTGTAGGGGGGCTTCGGCCCGGCCTCTGGTCCTCGCCCCTATGATGAACCGAAGACGTCACCTTGCAGAGTGCTGGGCTGGGTGGGGGGCGTCCTCAGCCGTGCTGCATTCGTACCATCGGTCGCGGGAGGTTGCCCGGTGGCTCCCGACTGCCGCCTCTGCCCATTCTCCTTGGAGACAGTCCCTGATTTCTTCCTTCGTACAGTTTCCGCTGCCTTACCCCCACCCCTCAATCTCTGCCTTCCTCCTCACTTCCCTTGCCCCTTGTAGCCGCCACCTCTCTTTAGATCTTTTTATTTTCATTCCCACATCTAGCTACCTGCCGCCCCTGTCCGCCCCCCAGAAGGCCCTGGGGAGGCAGAAAGTCTGGGTGTGGTAACCCACTTTCCCACTGGCACCCCTAGCAAGATGCATGGCCTCCTGGGCCCCCCTGGCTGCTATTGGTCCTCGTCGGAGGAATCCCACCACTGCCCACTTCTCAGAGTTGAACCCGTTCGACAAGACCAGAAGTACTCTGGAAGCTGAAGTTCTGTGAAGAGCATGGTGAAAGACGAACAGACTGCCTTTAGCAAGTCTTACCGCATCTGCAGAAACTTCCTAGCCATGTCCTAGCATTTTTCTTAGACCCCAAAAGGTTGAATTGGAAGCAAACCTCTACGGCTTTATAGAATTCATTATGGCAACTCGAAGCTCCTAGGAGACTCAGTGCTGTTCCACATCACCCATGGGTCGGTGCCACAGGTTAAGCCTTTGCCTGCCTAGCGGGCATTCCATGTGGGCCCTGTTGGAGCCTGGCTGCTCCACTTCTGATCTAGCTCCCTGTTAATGCATCTAGGAAAGCAGTGGAAGATGGCCCAAGTGTCTGGGCCCCTGCCACCCACGTGGGAGACCTGGTGGATGCTCCTGGCTCCTGGCTTTGGACTGGCCCAGATCTGGCATTACTGCCATTTGGGGAGTGAACCAGCAGATGGAAGATCTCCCCTTCTGTCTGTCTGTCTCTGTAACTCTGCCTTTCAAATAAAAATTTTTAAGAGATTTATTTATTTGAAAGAGTTACACAGAGAAGGAGAGGCAGAGAAAGAGAGGTCTTCATCCACTGGTTCACTCCCCAATTGTCCGCAACCGCCGGAACAGTAGCCAGGAGCTTCTTCCAGGTCTCCCCCGCGGATGCAGGGGCCCAAGGACTTGGGCCATCCTCTGCTTTCCTAGGCCATAACAGAGCTGGATCAGAAGCTGGAACTCGAACCGGCACCCATATGGGATGCTGGCACTGCGGGTGGCGGCCCTACCCGCTATACCACAGCACCGGCCCCTCAAATAAATCTTTAAAAAAAAAATGTTGGATGCAGGTGAACAAGATGAGTGAATTGCAAAATAAGATGTTCCTTGAATTTGTTGTGTTATTCTAAGATATAAAGGGTACTTTGAAATGTGTCTGAAAAATAAAATGAAAAGATAGATTTATTTTGGTACAAAAGCATGTTGAAGGGCAGGAGTTTGGCAGAGTGTAAATAATGCCAGCATCCCAAATCAGAGTCCTTGGATACAAGTCCTGGTTCTGCTTCCAATTCACTTTCTTTCTAATGCACACCTGGGAGGCAGCAGATGATGTCTCAAGTACTTGGATCCCTGCAACCCATGTGAGAGACCCGGATTGAGTTCCAAGCTCCTGGTTTAATCTGGCCCAGCTTGGGCATTTGAACAGTGAACCAGCAAACAGGAAATCTCTGTATCTGTGTCTCTCTGTTTCTCTGCCTTTCAAATTAATTTTTTAATATGTAAATTTTAAAAATAAAATGATGGCAATTTAATTTTTATGAAATATGCTAGGGGATGCTGTTGTGGTGTTGCAGGGTAAACTGCCTCCTGCAACACCGGCATCCCATATGGGTGCCAGTTCAAGTTCTGGCTCCTCCACTTCCAATCCAGCTCCCTGCTAATATGCCTGGAAAAAGCAGCAGAAGATGGCCCAAGTGCCTGGGCACCTGCACTCACATGGGAGACCCAGATGAAACTCCTGGTTCCTGGCTGTGGCCTGGCCCAGCCCCAGCTGTTGTAGACGTTCTGTCTCACACTCTCTCTCTCTAACTCTGCCTTTCAAATAAATCCATCTTTAAAAAAAGAAAGAAAGGAAAATACTCTGCCAGAGCCAGTATTATTGCACCACATGCAATGCTAGCATACCATGTCAGTGCTGATTCTAGTTCTAGCTTCTGATCTAGCTTCTGATCTAGCTCCTTGCTAATGTGCCTGGGAAGGCAGCCAGGGATGGCCCAAGTGCTTTAGCCCCTGCACCCGTGTGGAAAGCCTTAGCTTCTGACTTTGGTATAGCCCAAAATGGATGTTGTGGCCATTTGGGGAGTGACCCGGCAGATAAAGATATCTCTCTCTGCCTTTCAAATAAATAAAATCTTAAAACAATTACTCTGTCGGGGCCAGCGCGGTGGCACAGTGGATTAATGCCCTGGCCTGAGTGCTAGCATCCCATATGGGCACCGGTTCGAGACCTGGCTGCTCCACTTCCAATCCAGCTCTCTGCTGTGGCCTGGGAGGGCAGTGGAAGATGGCCCCAAGTCCTTAGGCCCCTGCACCCGTGTGGGAGACCTAGAGGAAGCTCCTGGCTCCTGGCTTCAGATTGTCACAGCTCCGGCCATTGCGGCCAATTGGGGAGTGAACCATTGGATGGAAGACCTCTCTCTCTCTGCCTCTCCTCTCTCTGTGTAACTCTGACTTTCAAATAAATAAATAAATAAATCTTTTAAAAAAAAATTACTCTGTCAGTCAACCATTCTTGCAAACTACATTTCAGTTCGTGAGCTGCCTAGTCTGTTCCCTATGACTTAGGCAGAATCCTCACGGCTTCTACCATGGGAGAAGCAGACATTGGAAGAGACTTGAGTTTGTGTGTGCATTTAAAGATTTATTTATGTATTTGAAAGGCTGATTACAGAGAGGGAGAGACAGACCATTTGCTGGTTCACTCCCCCAAATGGCCACAACAACCAGGGGTGGGCCAGGCCAAAGGCAGGAGCCAGGAACTTCTCTCACGTGGGTGGCAGGGGCCCAGGTACTTGGGCCATTTTCCTTTGCTTTTCCAGGTGCATTAGCAGGGAGCTGGATGGGAAGTGGAGCAGCCAGGACATAAACTGGTGCTCATAGGGGATACCAGTGTTAGACCCTCTGAGTGAGGATGCGAACACGTTGAGAGGCACACCCCAAAGACTCAGAGTCCAGACCAGCTGATGCAAAAGCAAGAGGATTTATTCGGCGTCTGCGCAGATGGGCCTCCTGAACTCGGGAGTCCAGAGAGCGCCCAGCACAAAGCCACACGGTTTATATACCCGCAGCGACCAATCAAAAGCACTATAGTGTCCATGCACACAGCAGTCCAATCCATGAGCTGATCATGTGAAAGGCATGCGTCTTCTATCCAATCAGCTACGGGATCACATGGGAGGCATGCACACAGCAGTCCAATCCGTGAGCTGATCATGTGAAAGGCATGTGTCTTCTATCCAGTCAGCTACGGGATCACATGGGAGGCATGCACCTCATCACCATTTTGTTGTTTACTTCTTTAGCAGTTCCTTTCCCTGTCAGCGTCATCTTGTTCACCCTGAGGGGGTCGACGTCTTGCTCCCTTCGTTCCCCTGGAGGGAGAGCAGCATCCTGCTTCCCACACCGTTATCTGAATATTAGGAGGCATACAAACTGGGTTAGGTCTTAGCACAGCCAGGCACAAGTGTCGCAACTAGCTAAGCATAGGGTCCCTTATTTTTATAGCTGCACCTAATTTTAGCTTTGGGGGAAAAGGTTTAGGGCTATAATTTTTAAACTTTAATTTTACTTGGGGCAAAGGTGACTTCTTGTTTTTAATAGTGTTAGCTTAAGTCACTCCATCTTGGTTTGGTTTGATTTTTAAGGTTCTTCACCAGCATTAGGCAGGCTGCAGCTTTTTTTTTTTTTTTTTTACGATTTTATTTGTTTATGTGAGAGGTAGAGTTACAGACAGTGAGAGGGAGAGACAGAGAGAAAGGTCTTCCATCTGCTGGTTTTACTCCCCAAATGGCCACCCATATGGGATGCCGGCACAGCAGGTAGAGGTTTAATCCACTTTGCCACAGCGCTGGCCCCAGGCTGCAGCTTAACCTGCTGTGCTGCAATGTGGGCCCCAAAACTTGAGTTTTATGGATATAACTCTAATTAAGTTTTTATATTCCATAAGGATTTTATACATTTTTATGGACATGGATTAATTGTACATGTTTATTAGGTACTCTGATATTTCAGTACATTTATACATCATATCTAGTAGACAGCGTTTCCATCTCATCATCTATATTTGGAGATTTTGAGCTTCTCTCTTCTGGTTCTTTATAAGATGGATAATAGGTTATTGTGAACTATGGTCACTCTGCTGTGCTGTAGACAACTGGGGCTTATTCATTCTCTGTTGGTACTTGTTATCCAGTCTTCCTCCATCTGCCCATCCCCTTGGGCTTTTTTTTTTTTTTTTAAGTAAGTTCAAGATAAAGAATGTGGAATGTGTCACTGATTATTGTTTTCTCCTAGCCTAGAGAATAACACACTTGCAGTCCCATATCTGGGTTCTTGTGTTCAATTCCCAGCTCCAATTCCTGCCTCTAGTTTTCCAACAATGCAGACCTTAGAGAAAGCTGGGAGGCAGTGGTGATGGCTCAAGTGATCAGACTCCTGCAGTCCACACAGGAGACCTGGGTTGTACAGTTTTAGACCATTCTGAAGATATTTTTAATATATTTAATTCCATTCACCGACAGATTTGAGGAATTAATTTAGCAAATATGTATCAAGTGCTTACTTTGAGCCAGGTTCTGGACCAGATTCTCCCAAGAGAGGACACAGCTTTTGTCCCGTAAGGATACACACTTTGGGGCCAGCATTATGGCATAGCAGGTAAAGCTGCCACCTGTGACGCCTACATCTCATATGGGTGCCAGTTGGTGTCCTGGTTCCTCCACTTCCAATCCAACTCTGCTAATGGCCTGGGAAAAGCAGCAGGAGATAGCCCAAGTGTTTGGGCCCCTGCCACCCATTTGAAAGAAAGACGAAGCTCCTGGTTCCTGGCTCCAGCCTGGCCTGCCCCTGGCTGTTACAGCCCTTTGGGGAGTGAACCAGTAGATGGAAGATCTTGCTCTCTGTCTCTCCCCGTCTCTCTGTAACTCTTTCAGATAAATAAATAAATCTTTATGAAAAAAAATTTTAAATGTGCCTTCTTTCTTTAGAAAAAAAAGAGCACAGTTTAATGGAAAACTAAATAGATTTCATCACTTCTATAAGAGAGCTTTTGTGTGTGTGATAAGTCTTTGAGTTCCAGGTTTGTTTGTTTTTTTTGCCTGTAACACACTGGCCCATGTGACCGAGAGCTGATATTTGTTTCTCTAATCCTAGCAATAAGGTCTTGCTGATGCCTTACCATTTTGTTCCTGATAAAGAACAAATTCCTGCTGAGTCATGGAAATCCTAGAACAGGCCTCCATTTCTGAGTAGCTGGAATAGAAGATATTTTCTACCAGCTGGGAGCACAGCATCTTGATTGCTGAGTAAAGCAGACCATTAAGATGTCAGCCACAGTATGTGGGTGTTTGTCTTTTTGCTTTCTCCCCCTTGCTGTTAGTCATTATAGATTCAATGAGGCCAATGGGAATTAAGGTGACTCAACTAGATTCAGCCAAGAAGTCAGAGAAGGAGTGAGAAAGGTGATAGGGGCACCTGCTAGTGTATTACACATCTTTAGGCTTTCTGATAAGGGCATTTGGACTGATAAAGCCCAAGTCCTTGGGCTCCTGCACCAGCGTGGGAGACCTGGAAGAAACTCCTGGCTCCTGGCTTCGGATCAGCACAGTTCCAGCCGTTGCGGCCATTTGGGGAATGAACCAGTGGATGGAGGACCTCTCTCTCTCAACCTCTCGACCTCTCTCTCTCTCTGCCTTTGCTTCTTAAAAAAGAAAAAAAAAAAAAGTAAATCCCACCATGACCCTGCTCAAAACCTCTGCTGGGGGTAGGTTTTGTGGCACAGCAGCTTAAGCTGCCTCTTGGGATGCTTACATCCCATATTGGAGTGCCTGGATCAAGTCTTAGCTGCTCCACTTAGGATCCAACTTCCTGGTAATGTGCCTGGGCCCCTGCCACCCATGTGGGAGACCTGGATGGAATTCCTGCCTCCTGGCTTTGGCCTGGTCCAGCCTCAGCTTTCGCAGGTATTTGGTGAGTGAACTAGTGGGTAGAAGATGCATCTCTCTCTTTGTGTGTCACTCTGCCTTTCAAATAAAATGAGCAACTCCAAACAAACAAAACCCACCTCCATTGGCTTCCCACTAGCCTTAGAGTAGACTCCTAGCCCCTTGCCATGGTCTGAAATAACCTATACGGTCTGGCTCCTACCACAATTGCATTAGTGCTAATTCATTACCCTCAGGCTTCGCCTCATTATTCTCACTTTATATCTGCAGCATCCTCTGCCTGGAACATGCTTTCCCTGAGTCCTCACGCTGCTGACTCCTTTTGACATTCTGATGGCAGCACAAGACTGAGACAGTCTCACAGAAAACCTAAACATACTGTGGTGTCTGCAAAGCGCTTAACACTCTATGATATTATCTTGTTTACCTGTCTATTGTTTAGCTCCACTCTCTGGGATCCACAAGGGTTACCAAGGAGACCAAGTTGGCTTTGGCCACTGCTGAATCCCCACTGCATAGAACTGTGTGGGCACCAAGTACGAGGACTATAAATACAGTTGGCCAGGTTGGCCTGGCTAGATGCTTAGAGGCAGGGCCTCATGGATGCGGTGGGCTTACAGGATGAAAGCCTCGGGACTCAGTCGGCAAGCGAAGCTGCTGCCTGTGGGCTGCAGGGTGAGAGGCTTTAATTAGAGCTTTCAGATCAGAAGGTAGGAGCAGGACCACCTTGATTTGGGTGATGGATAAGGAGTACTGACAACAAGGAACCTTTAAGACAGTATTTTATTGCTCTCTTAAAAAAAAAATCTTGTTCATGAAAAAATTACATGATTTGGGAACTGTGAACAAGTTCAAACAACACCTCAGTTGGCAGAATCGGAAGTGGAGAAAAAGCAGGAAGCCTATTTACAGATGGTTTTGATAACCCATTTGCATTTAAATTGTCCCCACAAGCTTATGTGTTTCCCAGGGGGCATAGTGTGGGTTCCACTGAACTGAATGTTGCAGTTACCACCCAGACACTTTGGACTCCTTATGCCAGTGAACCTGGAGGTGGAAGACTTACCATACGGGGAGGGCAGCTCCCCTGACTCCAGCAAGGGTGCAGAATTGCTGGTCTACACAACTGAGTTTGAAGGAGTACTCTTGGAGTCCAGGGAACACATTTTTGGGGGCCTCCCTACTCAGTGAAAAGAAAAAATAAGCAATTACAACAGCTACAGCCAGACAAAGACAGGCTAGCTAGAGACTCAGACCCCTTGGAAACACTGAATGAAAAGATAAGTTTGTTTTGGTGCAAAAAGCTTTGAAATCCATGCAGAGGAGAGGTCTTGGAATAGTTCTTGGAAAATGTGTGTTACAAAAACAGATAATGCACCAATTTCCCACTAATATGTTCCAGAAGTCGTTGAAGAAATGACTGACTCCAGTCTGGGGCAGGAAGTGTACAGAGTACACTTGCTGCACCAGAAAGCAATCAAATGGTTACATCAAACATCAAAACAACCTGCTAATGACTCAGGAACACATCTGAAGAGGTTCCCACCAGCTGAAGATGGGAAAGTTTAAGGATCAGAAAGTAAAATGACTCTTCCTTCTCTGCTGAATTGTCTTGCCACTTTGTCAGAGATCAGTTGTCAGGGGAGGTGGCATTTAGCCAAGCGATGAATATGCCCTTGTGCCAAGTCAGGAGGCCGGGATTCAATTCCTGGCTCCAGCTCCTAATTCCAGCTTCCCACCAGTGCGGAGGCAACAGTGAAGTAACTGTGTTCCTGCCATTTTACGTGGGAGACTTGGGTGGTGCTTGTAGCTCCTGGCTCTGGCCCTGGTTCAGGATGAGACATCAGTTTGAAAACAGACCCTATCAGGGCACCATGAATTCTACTAACATTGAAGCAAGAACAAACATAAAATTTACGGTGAAGTTTATATTGGAAGAATGGTGTAAAAATGGATGATATTTTCCCTTTCAAAAAATTGTGGTCAGGGGCTGGCATTGTAGTATAGCAGGTAAAGCTACTAACTACAACACCAACATCCCATATGGGTGCCAGTTTGTGTCCTGGCTGCTCCACTTCTGACCCAGCTCCTTGCTAATGTGCCTGTAAAAGCAGTAGAAGATGGCCTAAGTGTTGGGCCCCTGCCATCCACGTGGGAGACCCAGAAGAGGCTCCTGGCTCCTGACTTTGGCTTGGCCCAGCACTGGCCATTGTGGCCATCCAGGGAATGAAGAAGTGGATGGAAGACCTCTCTCTGTGTGTCTCTGCCTCTGTCTCTGTAGCACATTTGCTTTTGCTTTTCAAATAAATAAATAAATCTTAAAAAATATTATAGTCAGCCTGTTGGGTGTGTGAAGACTATCTATCTTACTGTGGTTTTGGTTTTCATTTCCTTAATAACTAGTGATGTTGAATATCTCTATGTTCATGCTGTTTGTATATTTTATTTGGAGAAATAGCCCTTCAAGTCTTTGGTCATGTTTTAATTAGTCTGTTTGTCTTTTTTTAATGTTTATTTTATTTGAAATGTAGAGAGGAAGATGAATAAATAGAGATTGCCCATCCACTGGTTTGCCACCCAAATGTCCACAACAACCAGGGCAGGGCCAAGCCACAGTCAGGAACCAGAAGCTCAATGCATCCCATTCAATTCCTGTGGATGGCAGGGACCCAGCCACTGTAGTCCGTGCCTGCTGTCTCCCAGCGTCTGCATCACTGACAGAAGCTGAAATGGAGAGAAGCCAGGACTCGAACCCAGGCACTCCAACTCAGGACGTGGGCATCCCAAGCGGAGGCCCAAGCACTGTGCCAAATGCCTGCCCTGTCTTGTTTGTCTTTTTGTAAGGGTTCTTTATATGTTCTGGATACTGGACCCTTATTAGATACATGGTTTGCAAATATGCTCTCCAATTCTGTAGATTCTCTTTTATTTATTTACTTGGAATACAGAGTTAGAGAGAAATCATCCATCTACTATTTCATTCCCTAAATGGTCACATGGCTGGAGTGAAACCTGAAACCAGGAACCAGGAACTCCATTCAGGTCTCCATGAGTGGCAGGGACTACTGCTTCCTCAGACCTATTAGCAGGGAGCTGGATTGGAAGTGGAGCAGCCAGAACTCGAATCAGTAGTCCTATATGGGATGCTGGCATTGCAGACAGTGGCTTAACCCCCTGTGCTACAATGCCTGAAGGTTATCTTAGTTGATAGTGTCCTTTGATGTACAAAAAATTTAATTCTAGTGAAGCTCAATTTATCTATTTTTTTCTATTTTGCTTGTGCTTTGGTATCATCTCTAAAAATCTATGCCTAAACCAAGGTCATGCAGAGTCATGATTATATTTTAGTCATTTAATAAATCATAAGTCTTTGATCCATTCTGACTTCATTTTAAAATTTTTTTAAAGATTTATTTTAGTTACTTGAAAGTCAGAGTTATAGAGGGAGAGAGAGAGAGGTCTTCCATCTGGTGGTTCACTTCCCAGATGGCTGCAACAGCTGGAGCTGCGCTGATCGGAATATCTGAATCCAGGAACCAGGAGCTTCTTCTGGGTCTCCCGTGCAAGTGCAGGGGCCCAAGGACTTGGGCCATCTTCTACTGCTATCCCAGGCCATAGTAGAGAGCTGGATCGGAAGAGGAGCAGCCAGGACTCGAACTGGCACCCATATGGGATGCCGGCACTTCAGGCAAGGGCTTTAACCCACTATGCCACGGCGCCAGCCCCTATTTTAAAATTTTTTAAACGATGTATTTATTTATTTGAAAGGTGAAGCAACAGAGGAAAGACAGAAAGAGAGAGGGATCTTACATCTCTCCGGTTCACACCTCAAATGTCTGCAAAAGCTGGGCCTGGGGCTGGGTCCATCAAAGCTAGGAGTAAGGAACTCCATCCAGATCTCTCACAAGTACAGCAAAGACCCAAACAGAGCCATTACCTACTGTCTCAGGGTACACATCAGTAGGAGGCTGGCTTAGAGGTGGATGCAGGGGGCCAGCACTGTGTTGCAGCAAGTTAAAACCCTGACCTGCAGCGCCAGCATCCCATATTGGCACCAGTTTGAGTTCCAGCTGCTCTCCTTCTGATCCAGCTCTCTGCTGTGGCCTGGGAAAGCAGTGGAAGATGGCCCAAGTGCTTGGGCCCCTGCACCTGCACGGGAGACCTGGAAGAAGCTCCTGGCTCCTGGCTTTGGATAGGCACAGCTTAGACTGTTGAGGCCATTTAGGGAGTGAACCAGTGGATGGAAGACCTCTCTCTTTGGTCCTACTTATCTCTGTAACTCTTTATTTTATTTTATTTTTTATTTTTATTTTTATTTTTATTTTTGACAGGCAGAGTGGACACTGAGAGAGAGAGACAGAGAGAAAGGTCTTCCTTTGCTGTTGGTTCACCCTCCAATGGCCGCCGCGGCCGGTGCACCACGCTGATCCAGTGGCAGGAGCCAGGTACTTATCCTGGTCTCCCATGGGGTGCAGGGCCCAAGCACTTGGGCCATCCTCCACTGCACTCCCTGGCCACAGCAGAGAGCTGGCCTGGAAGAGGGGCAACTGGGACAGAATCGGGTGCCCCGACCGGGACTAGAACCTGGTGTGCCGGCGCCGCAAGGAGGAGGATTAGCCTAGTGAGCCGCGGCGCCGGCCTCTGTAACTCTTTCAAAATAAATAAAACAAATCTTGAACCCAGGCATCTGCTATGTGGGTGCCCCAAGCAGCACACTTAACCTGCTGTGCCACAATGCCCACCCCCAGCTGGGGTATTTTTATTTCTCTTTCTTGCCTACTTACTCTGATTAGGCTTTCTAGTACAATGTGAAACAGAAATGGCAAAAGTGAGTGTTCTTATGTGGGAAGGTTATTTATTTATTTATTTATTTGAAATTCAGAGTTAGAGAAAGAGATGTCTTCCATCTGCTGGTTCACTCCCCAAATGGCCACAATGACCAAGACTAGGCCAGGCTGAAACCAAGAGTCCAGAGCTTCTTCTGGGTCTCCCACGTGGGTGCAGGGGCCCAAGCACTTGGGTCATTGCTGCTTTCCAAGGTGCATTAGCAGGGAGCTGATCAGAAGTGGAGCAGCAGGGACTTGAATTGGCACCCACAGGTGATGTTGGCATGGCAGGCTGTAGCTTTAACCCCCTGTGCCACAGCTCCAACCCCAGGAAGGTCCTTTACTACAAATTCTATTATAAATTTTCGGGTAGTTTGTGCCTTTCAAGGAAAACATAACATAAATGGAAATATAAAATATGAACTATCAAACTTGTAGGAGAAAAAATTAGGCAAAAATCTTTGTGATCTTGGGTTATGCTATGTTGAATATGATGTAAAACAGAAGTCCATAAAATAAATAAATTGATAAATCTCATATTTCATCAAGATTTAAGATTTCTACTCTTCAAAGGACCCTTTTGAGATGAGTGTTTAGCTAGTGGATAAAACATCCACATTCCACATCAGAGTACCTGGGTTGCCTAAGTGGCTCCAGTTCCTGATTCCAGCTTCTGCTAGTGCAGACCTTGGGAAGAAGTGGAGATGGCTCTAACAAATGGGCATCTGCCACACACATGTGAGACCTGGATGGAGTTCCTGGCTCCTATGAACCCATAGATGAGAACTTTCTTTCTCTCTCTCTCTCTCTCTCTCTCTAACTCTGCCTCTCAAAAAAAAAAAAAAAAAGTCTAACAAAAATTTAGCAAAGTATATATCTTATAAATTACTTTAGTCATAAAGTATATAAAGAACAATCTAGGGGCCTGAGCTGTGGCATAGTAGGCTAAGCCTCTGCCTGTGGTGCTGGCATTCCATATGGGCACCAGTTCTTGTCTTGGCTGCTCCACTTCCGATCCAACTCTCTGCTATGGCCTGGGGAAGCAGTAGAAGATGGCCCAAGTCCTTGGGTCCCTGCACTCATGTGGGAGACCCGGAAGAAGTCCTGGCTCCTGGCTTTGAATCAATGCAGCTCCAGCCATTGTGGCCAACTGGGGATTGAACCAGCCATATGAAAGACCTCTCTCTCTCTCTCTCTCTACCTCTCTGCCTCTCTGTAGCTCTGTGTTTCAAATAAATCGATAAATTTTTAAAAATAAATTAGTTAACATCTGCCAATTTTTTAGGAATTATTTTATTTATTTGAAAGACAGAGTTACAGAGAGAGGTAGAGCCAAAAAGAGATAGAGATCTTCCATCCACTGGCCTCCCCAGATGGCCTCAATGGCCAGGCCAGAGTCAGGAGCTTCTTCTAGGTCTTCTGCATGGATGTAGAGGGCCAAGCCCTTGGGCCATCTGCTGCTTTCCCAGGTGCATTAGCAGAGAGCTGGATCTGAACTGGAGCAACTGGGACCTGAACCAGTGCCCATATGGGATACCAGCGTCACAGGTGGCATCTTTACCCACTAGGCCAGAATGCCAGCCCCATCATATTATAAACCTAATATTTACTTTCAAAATATGGTTGTATTCATGCAGCGAAAAAGTCTTATGTTAAAAACATGATGATAGATCTGACTGTTGTATTTCTGATTTGAGGAAAATTAAACCGAAAAGGTTTCAATTTGTTACTACTTCCTTCAAATAACATCCTAGCAGAAACAGGTATATATTTGTACTATGCACTTAGAAAGAATGCTGTTACGACTAACTTGAAATCTAAGCTACACAAATCATTCCCATGGAAAACTATTGCATTCTGACTTTACTCTAAATTCTTGGCCCCCAACAGTGGCTTTCCACATAAAAACTCTCAAATATTTGAGCTGATGGAAAGGTGATGCTAATAAGGCTAACAAAAGAGCAAGTTACAAAGGTCTTCACTTAACCCTAAAGACAAAGCCTAAAGAGGGAAATATTAAGACAAATGAGGGGAAAGGAAGAATCAGAAATGAATGTGGCCTTGAGCCCTTGTACCCGAGCAAGGTACAGAGTAAGAGAGGTTACAAAATGTTTCTTAGTGGAAAGGCTATGCAGACAGCACTGCATGGAACACACACAACTTTGTAGTTAGGAAGAGAAGCAAGATGTGGTGGTACTAGCTACACTCTGAAGTTTAAGAAACAGCAAAGAACAACAAATGAGTTAGAAATACAGTAATCTGTTGGGTCTTTTAAAAGTCATACCCAAATAAAAACAACTAACCTCTCGTTCACTTTTAAATCCGACAGGGAACACGTATTTGCCTTTGAATTTTTTTCTTTGAAGTTAACAGCTGATTCTCATCTGAATAAATATTTTAAAATTCTTAATTATTAAGGTAAGTAAGCTTCTTAACTGCCCTGGAATAGGGTTATATTAAAAGCTGCATTACATTAATCCCCTCAATACCAAAGTTGCTACCATCAAGCTCATTTTATAAGCATTAATTAAATTTTTAAAAAGTTTTTTTTTTTTTTTAATTTGAAAGAGCTATACAGAGAGAGGAGAGGCAGAGAGAGAAAGTCTTCCATCCACTGAACTCCCCAAGTGGCCGCAACGGCCGGAGCTGCGCCAATCCGAAGTCAGGAGCCAGGAGCTTCTCCTGGGTCTCCCACGTGCGTTCAGGGGCCCAAGGACTTGGGCCATCTTCTACTGCTTTCCCAGGCCATAGCAGAGAGCTGGATTGGAAGTGGAGCAGCCAGGACTCAAACTGGCACCCATAAGGGATGCTGGCACTGCACACAGCGGCTTTACCTGCTACGCCTCAGTTCCGGCCCCTGCTCCATTTCTTTTCTTTTCTTTTTCTTTCTTTTTTTTTTTTTTTTTTTTTGTATCTCTCTTTTTTATTTATTTTTGACAGAGTGGACTGTGAGAGAGAGAGAGAGAGAAAGGTCTTCCTTTTGCCGTTTTTTCACCCTCCAATGGCCACCGCGGCCGGCGTGCTGCGGCCGGTGCATCGCACTGATCCGATGGCAGGAGCCAGGTACTTATCCTGGTCTCCCATGGGGTGCAGGGCCCAAGCACTTGGGCCATCCTCCACTGCACTCCCTGGCCACAGCAGAGAGCTGGCCTGGAAGAGGGACAACCGGGACAGAATCCGGCGCCCCGACCGGGACTAGAACCCAGTGTGCCGGTGCCGCAAGGCGGAGGATTAGCCTAGTGAGCTGCGGCGCAGGCTATGCTCCATTTCTGATCCAGCTCTCTGCTGTGGCCTGGGAAGGCAGTAGAAGCTGGCCCAAGTACTTGAGCCCCTGCACCTGCATGGGAAATCTGGAAGAAGCTCCTGGCTCCTGCCTTTGGATCAACATAAGCTCTGGCAGTTGCTACCATTTGGGGAGTGAATCAGCAGATGGAAGACTTCTCTGTCTTTACCCCTCTGTAACTCTGCCTTTCAAATAAATAAATCTTTTAAAAAAAATGTATTCCAGCACAGGACAGCATATCCAGGATCCTAACTAAATAAAAACATCAGCAAATAGGGTACCATCTTGGTCTGTGAACAATGTTTTCTAGAAGGGAATGAGGGTAACACAAAGAGGCCAGTGGTGAAAACTTCTCTCTGATATATTTCTAAGACACCTGTGAGTAGGTTTAGCATAAAACTGATCGAAGGCGTTGTGTCTTTCAGTAGCTTTTAGAACAAAGCCACTACTTGATAGGAATATTCAGCTCAGCACTCTGTGTTAAAACACAATTGTAGGGGCCAGTGCTGTGGCGTAGGCGGTAAAGCCCCAGCCTGCAGCGCCGGCATCCCATATGGGCACTGGTTCTAGTCC